AATACATTTCAGTCTTTGAAACATTGAGCCCCAGTCTCAAGTTTACCGATGACGTAGCAAGCAATATTTTTGGAAAAGTGGAACTAACTTATTAGGGTTCAAGGGCACAGAATGGAAAACCAGGCAGTGATCGTTGCTGGGGATCGCAATATAAAAAATACACGCTTTCTCGATCAACAGTCCATTGCTGTTTATAACCAAACGCTCACATTATGAACTCTTCTTATTGTGAAGCGATCAGTTAGTCTTATGCGCTGCCAGATTAAGTAGCATTTTAGTGAGCAAAACCTATTGGGACTGGAGCGGTCGGAAAGCAAACAGATTGATGGAGTCTAGTTCGAACTTCCTGAGGAAAGCGAATTGTTCACCGGCTGGTCATAATCACTGTTACCATGGCGATACCAAACTAACAACCGCGTTTTTCTTTGTACGATGTAGAAAATGAGAATCTCGGAGACGCTCACAAGATGAAGTAAAAACCATCTATCACTTATACACTATATTGTAAATGGTCCCGATCAGGCAATCTCGTGAATGTGGTCTAGACTGAGAGAAACATGATACGGGTTTTTTCCGCTGGGTTATTTGCTTCCTCTCCAGGTTTCCAACGGGCTTTCTCTGATTTACTTTGATGCTTTGTAAGTGTAATTAGCGTGTTACCTGAGGACGTCTGAAGTAAATCCGAGTGAGTACTCTCTGCAGATAAAGTTACTCACACAAGATTGTAAAGAAAAATTTGCAACAGGCTCATCACTGACAAACTTATGGGCCCACCTAAAGCTTATGCAATCAGTACGGACATGAAGACCGTTGGCTGCGATTGGTGGTTGTATTATAAAAAAGTTGCATAGCCATTTGAGTGCAGTGCATTGGTCTGTATTCCGGTAATAAATCTGTATCTCACCCCAAGATACTTTTTATCAAAAACAGGTGCATTCGAGTCACAATCGGCGGGAATAATATGTATCCTGGGGTTAGTACAGTAGCTGATGCAGTTCTTCATGACATTCATGAACCTTTGGTCAATTTATTTTGTTCCTTATTCCAAGTGCACAATCTTTGATCACTTTTTTTATTCAACCGGATCCGAAACCATCAACAGCGCTATCACTTTATCTTGTTATTCATCTAATAATTTTCTGCACAATTATCACTGATGGGCGATAAACTAGTCAGTTTTACTATGATTCATCTTACCTTACAGGCTAAAAATATATGTTAACTGAATACTACATGAATACAACTAGTCAAGTTCTATCATTGACAAGTTAACGTTTATTGACAGTTGTTGGATTCAACAAATATTGTTTGCAACGGCCAATTAGTGGCGCTGGGTTTTACTAACTGCACCAGCGTATAAGGTGAGGATATTTGCGACGAGACGGAGAACAACAACAACAACAACAAAAATTCAGCAGGCGAAAATATGGCCGCATAAGACCGCTGGAGCAATCAGCCGAGATGTGGTCCACGAATAGCTCAAGTAGATGAAAACAGGCATGATAAGAGGTAGCCTTTCATATCTCGCTGATACTGAAAGATGTTACAGTTCGATTCACTTAGCCCACTACTTCATTGTTCTTGCGTAAGTCACTGAGTTGTGGTTTGAACGACTTCGGACCGAAAAAACCACACTTAAATGATAAAACTTTATAAATTTTGTGGGGCTTGCGGGATATGTATTGTTCATATTCCCATCACTCTCGTCTGAACAGATGTCATCCTTTCCCGTTCTCTTCTTGGACGAGTCAGGCACACCAGTCACATTGCTCGAGCGTGAACACGATCGTCTGTTCGGACGCGGAAATTCAGATGCGTTCAACGTGCGCTGGTGAAGTAGTGGTAACAAGTTCATCTCGTATGCCAGGTGTTCGGGGTTCCAAACCCGGTATGGTCATTGAATATGCACTGATGGTGAGCTCTCATAAGAGTGAAATCTCAGTCCAATGCTTCATTCTCTATGGTATTGGATCATCAGAATAATTATACTGGCGTAGGAGGTCAACTGTTAAAACGAGAGTATTGAATGAATTCCTATGAACTGGGGAGTCTGTGGTGCGTTATTCAGTTGGTATTACTAACATGTTATGGATCCTTACGTCTTTTTAGATAAAGGAAGCAGTATCCTCATATTTTTTATCTGGATTTGATATCCATTAAGATTTTTGTATAAACCAAATGCGTATGCTTACGTTTAGCATGTTACGTACCTCAGTAATGCCGAGTTATTTCCCGGTTCGAAATTTACATGTGATAGAGCAAGCGCCTGGATAAAAAATCCTCGCATTGTACAGAATTAGGCTACAAATTTCTTGAATAACATAGGACCTAACAATTTGTTCATTTTTTACCCTGTCTATTGCAAGAACCTCTTGCCTAGTAGGTTACGAGTAGATAACACCGATACAAGTTGGGTAGTTCCATCTGTAAACAGTTCGAAAAACCGAAGTCGCATTTAAACAGCTGTTAATTTACGGATTCATTCAACTGCAGTATTTTGTATGTAACGGATATCAAGATAGGGCTTTCAGAAAGTTAAGAAGTTCATCTGATTCCACTGAGGTCCTGAATGCTGAGAAAATGGGACGAAGTAAATCAAGCAAATAGCTTCAGGCTTATTGATATTTTTTATAAGCTGTGAGTTCCAATCAGTAACGTAACCGTATGATTATTAGTGATAAAGCAAACTTTATAATCAACAGACAGATTTATGCAGGTTTTGTAGGCACAGTTGTACAACAGAAAACGGTTTTAAACAAAAATTATTGATTTTGGGTGCCAGTTTGGTGTGTAAAACGAGAAAGCTAGCAATGTTGAATGGTATCCTGGAATTTAGTGGGTATATTAGGCATTCTAGAGATGATAAGTTCGGACGGATAGAACGGTAATGCATTCCACCAAAACATTTACATGACACATACCCCACATTTTTCTGTTTCATCACCTTGGATAACTGTGCTGGCAAACTTACAGTACGGGTCTCGACCAGATCAAAACCTGCACCAGCCTACCGAGTGTGCATAGGTTCAGAAGCGTATTACCCAAAACTCTCTAATCAATGAAAATCAAAAATTTTCCGTCAAAAGACAACCCAGTCGCTGCATAAAAGAGAGGAAAAGCGATTTGTGGTGGTTCTGAGGTATCATCGTTGAAATGGTGATATTTGACGGTGCTCCACGCTTGCATCATATCTATGTACCGTCCAGGTTTTCATCTTTCGGCACGTTTATGTCAGTTCATTACAGCCGTATTCAGATGGCTAGTAGTTGCGGATCAAATATCGTCCTGTTACACTATGCAGTATCAGACTGCGATGATAAACAAGGTTGATCTCGTTGTGTTCTCACTAGATGAAGTTTACTCCGTATAAATATGTGACGTATGACTTCGTTTCCTGAACGCTTAGCTCTGGAATCCAAAAAATTCAGAGGTCCGACTAACGGCTAATAAAGCTGGAAATAACTGGTAGATGATCATAAATGTTGTGGGCGTATAGAGAGCATATTGACTCCTCTGGCGGAAAAAGCATTGGCCATTGTGTCAACTGGTATTGATCGCTTACGCCTTCTTTCTCGTGCACACTGCTCTGAGGTCTTATTGTCTTCCCACTCCATTTAACGTTGCTGGGCTCATCTGTGTGATCTGTCAATATTTCGTCAAAATAACTTAACCAGAAGACGATTCGTTAGTTTCTCGACGCATACAGCTGAGAACACAGCCGTACAACCCGCAGGAGTGGCCAGGGGGAGAACAAAGTAAATGTATACTGTGCAGAATAACATGTTTGTACGTAAACCGAGGGTTAAAATTGATTGTTGACATTATTTGAATTGATCTACTTACTGCACCAATGTTCTTTGCGGATAAACGGATTCCACTTTTACTAAAGTCACTGCTGGGTGGATGGGATTATACCTGAACGAGATCATCTTACAGAAAGAATTGCGATGTGACTTCGTTATACATTCTCTCAGGCTAGATTGGTGGCCATTTTAGTCACCGTCAACCCACAATATGATGTTCCCAAATTAACCATTTCATTTACGGTAATCTGCAGGACTAAACATCCCACAAAGGTATGGAGGTCGCCCGCCGACATGTCGCCACCTGGAGAACAGTGCCCGGCTGGATTCTACTAATCTTCACTTCTGAAGAGTGGGTGACGTCTGGTATCCCCGCTAAGTGCATGTGCACCGCCATGCTGTCCCATCACCTGCAGTCGAAAGTTATACAGCTGAAACAATATGTAAAATGTTATTGCTTTGAATCCCCTGAGTGGTAATTAAGGTTTTCACTTCTGTTGATCACCAAGAAATATTAAACACCTTTGTGGGCCTTATTCGTAGAACACCACTACCTGCAAGGCTGGCGGAACTCACGTAACATGTTCCCAAACAGTGAAAACTACTATCTAGAATCTAAGATGTATTCATCCTTTTGGTAATAAGAAATAAATTTCAAATAGAATCAACGAGGTGAACTGCATGGTATATATTTTTTCAACCCTACAGAAATGAGATCATTGCATTTTCTCAGTAGAATATTGGTTGATTAAAATTATTGGTTGCTGTCGCAGTATTCTCTTTACTATTCTCTCTATATTCAGTCTGATATCCTGAAACCCGTAATCGAACCGTGCATGCCTATTTTTGGTATATATCTAAAAATAAGACACATCATGTACATTTTTACCAGCAGAAACAGTTCAAACGTTGTTGCTTCTTTAAAATAAGGCACATCCCTAGCCCAAGTCCTGGACGGTAGGTCAAAGTCGAATATGATCCCATTTATTTTTATGGCCGAGTCAGTCTGGTTTTGATTGAGAAGTTACCATATGTTGAAAGATAAACCATCGACTGGATAACAATATAAAACTCCCCTCATCGGTCTGTTGTAATAGTTATGACTGTTTCAGCCCAGCCCAACACAGGCTTGTCGGGTGATGTAGAGCTGACACTGTACCTCGAAATACCCACAGAACTCTTGCTAACTTAACTCACTTTCAAGCCCCAGTACATCAATTAGCCTACCGGTGAAAGGAAGGAGGCCTTCGTTGCGGAGTTATTTATTCGAAAATGCCAACCGACCGGTTACAGACCATTGAACAGGGAAGCGAAACCCCAATCTGCATCTCAGTTACAAAAACTGGACACAGATCTTCTCCCGAACGAGTCTTCCTAGAGATTCATTGCCTCCAGCCATTCGTCGGTCAAATGCAAGCAAATGGTTTAAAGTGGCCCCACGAATTCCGCAACAGAATTCCCTTTTTCAAGTCGAAGCAGAGCGAAATTCTACGAAGAACACACAGTACCCGCGTGCCTCCCGATCAGTAGTATCACCGTCACACACCTCCACCCCTTAAAGCTCGTTCGCATACCATCGATTTCCATTTCCCTCCGTCAGGTCGGCTTCGGCAGCGGATCTACTCGGCCGCTCTTCAGGTGTATCATGCCACTTGCGAAGCTGCGTCCCATTCACTACTTTCGATCCCCGACCATCTTGAATGGTATAGACGTTCCCCCGGCGGTCGGTGACTACAAACGGTCCTTGCCATCGACTGCCCAGCTTCCGCGACCCCAGTCCACTCCTTCCAGGATTCTGGTGATCCTTCCACTTGACCTTCGTGCCTATGGGGAACGTTCGGACCTTTCTACTTGCCGTTTTCTGCCTAGCCCTTTCCTGAACGGCGGTCAAATTTTCTCGAGCTCTCTTTCTTTCTTCCTCTAGCTCCTCCGGAGACAAGCGTGTTGCCGGCCACAACCCAATTTCCTGATCAACCGGAAGGCGCGGATGTCGACCGTACATTAACATAAACGGGGACTTGCCTGTGGTTGACTGCGTGGAAGCACGATGAGCTAACAACACCATTGGCAAGTTCATTTCCCAGTCACCTCCTTTGGCCGCAAGCCACTCCTTGATCGTTCGGTTGTTACGTTCGGTCAGGCCATTTGTTTGCGGGTGGTATGGTGCCGTCCTTAGCCGTCTGATACCCAGCTTCTGCAAGCAATTACGAAACTCTTCGCTCTCGAAGCAAGGCCCCTGATCGGTTAGGATCATTTTTGGCACCCCATGGTTGGCCACAATGTGATGCATTACCACTCCGCTGATCGTCGTCGCCCGCTGATTCGGCACGGCTGCCGCCTCAATCCATCGCGACAGGTGTTCTGTCATCATCACGATGTATTGGTTCCCACTGGTTGTCACCGGAAAGGGGCCCATGACGTCAACTGACCACAACTCGCCGATTTCTGAGACAGGAATGGGTTCCATGGGATGGGTTGCCCCTGTCGTATCCGCTTTCATTAGTTGACAACGCTTACAGGACACCACATAATCCATCACCTCACTTCTCATCCCGGGCCAGTAGGCCCTCTGCCGAAGTAGGTCGTATGTCTTGGTGCACCCTGTATGTGCCATCTCATGGCATTCAACGATGAGATTCCGTCTCAAGACGCGAGGTATCACGGGCAGCACAACATCTGAATCAGTGGCGTTCCAGGAAATTATGCCAGCTTCATTCAGCCTCAGCCGATCAAAGTGACTCTGGAACGCTTCTAATTCCTTGTCTCCCTCTCCGTTCTCAATGTTCCTTCCATCCAACAAGGCGGCTGCAACCTTTTGTAACACCGGATCCTGCCGTTGGAGTTGCACCAACTTTCCGGGATCCAGTTCGACGACGAGGCCATTGGCTCCAATCATGATCTTGGGGACCTCATCTTCAGCCTCTGGCCTTGACAGCCAATCAGCCAAGTGGTTCTCCTTCCCCGGCACGTGCTGGATTGTGAAGTCGTACTCTTGCAACCGGAGTGCCCAGCGTGCGAGCTTCCCGCGAGGATCTCTGGTGGTCCTGATCCACTCCAGGGGTTTGTCATCGGTTTCGACATGAAACCTTTGCCCAAGCAGATATGGTCTCCACTTATCCAGGGCCCAGACAATCGCTAAACATTCCTACTCAATGGTGGAGTACTTCTGTTCAGCGTTAGTCACGACGCGACTGGCATATTCGATAACTCCATTCCTCTGCTTTAGGACTGCGCCGATACCGCGATCACTGGCGTCCGTTGCAACAATGAACATCTCTCCGACCCTGGGAAGTTTGAGGGTCAGTTGCTGATCCGACATCCGCGCTTTGGCATGCTCGAAAGCTTCATGTGCTTCTCCGGTCCATTCGAATTTGCGATTTTGACCGAGCAAATCGTACAGTGGCGCAGCAATTGTGTTGAAATCCTTAACGAACCGGCTGTAGTATGCTGCTCGTCCAAGAAACTGTCGTAGAGACCGCTTTGGATTGGGAACAGCACAATCCCTGATCTTTGCCAATTTTTTGGGCAGTGGGCTAACTTCTCCCTGACCCACTTTATGCCCCAGCAGTGTCGCCGAACTCCGAGCGAGCTGTGTCTTGGCTTCATTTATCCGCAGACCAGCCTCCCGGATCCGCTCCAACACAGCCTTCAAGTGAACTACGTGCTCTGGTTCCGAATTGCTGTACACAACGATATCGTCTCCGTACACGGCAACATTCTGGAGTCCCTTGGTTACACGAAGCATCAAGCGCCGGAATGTGAATGGTGCCCCGGACAAACCAAACGGCATTCGTCTAAATTGATATTGGGTGTCCCCAACCGTAAACGCCGTTTTCTCCCGGTCCTCCTCCTTGATAGGTAGTTGCCAATATCCGGAACGCAAGTCGAACACAGTAAAGTATCGGGAGTGCTGGAGGGAATCGAAAATCTCTGCAACCGAAGGCACAGCCACAACCCGATTTACGGTCAGTTCATTCAAGCGCCGGAAATCCACGCAAAATCTGTATTTTCCGTTCGTCTTCCTTACAAGCACAACTGGGGAATTGTACGCACTGTTGGCTTCTTCGATTATACCGTTCTTCAACATCTCCTGAATCTGTCTATGGACCTCCTCCCGTAGATGGAGCGGCAACGGACGGGGGCCATAAGGTCGAAAGCGTTCTGATGACAGAGGAATTTCGTGTTCAATCCACGGGCAGAAGCCAAACGGATCCTCATCGCCCGTAAACAGCTCGGAATATTCCTCAACCACGGCCCGTATTGACGATACATTACAAGACGGAAGTTTCCGGACACACAGCTCCCTCACGACAGTGCCTGGATAGCCTTCAAGCTTGATTGCGCCATACTTTGTCACCAGCCTTCCCTGCTTTAGGTCAATCACGGCATCTGTGCCCTTGAGAAAATCAGCTCCCAGTATTGTCTGCTCTACGTCTGGGCTGATCAGGAACGCGTGCTGCACGGACTTGTCGCCTAGGCGTACCGAGTGCGTTGACAATCCGTCAATCTTCAATCGATATCCGCCAACAGCTCTCACGGCTAGCGCGCACGGTCTGTATTCAGCCTGGTTCCCTCTTTGCCTCAGCGATACGCCTGCTCCGGTATCAATCAAACATAACTCCTTTTTCCCGTCTACCTCGACAATGGCTTGTATGGTAGCTTGTGTCATTGCGCTAATCGCGACCCACCCAGGAAAAGAGGAGTACTCTAAAGATTTATTGTGTACAAGCGATCGGTTACGGGGACACTGATTCTTCCAGTGGCCAGGCTTGCCACACATGTAGCACCGGCTGGTTTGAGCGTGCCTCCGCGATTCGGTCTTCACGGCTGCCAGCTGTTCGGTGAGTTGGTCCATCCTGGTCTGCAGTTCCTTCACTGATGCAGCATCCCTGTTCTCCTGCGACTGCAACGTGGCCAGTGGTTCCTGGGGCAGCTCCCGGGCCAGACGCACCAGCTCCTCCACACTCAACTGGCCAGTTGCTCGTGCCAACCGCAACTGGGCACCAAGCGCGGGCTGCACACCTTCGACGAACTGATCCGACAGCAACTGGTGTCGCGACACTCCGTCCAGCGTCGGCAAAGCGCGATCCAACAACTGCTGCAGGCCGGCGAAGAACACGGTCGGGTCAGATCCGGGTGCCATCCTGGCCGTCTTGAACCGCCTCATAGCCTCCTGGCGGTCGGCCGGTGTGTCGAACTCCGCTGCAAGGGCTTCCTTCGCGGCGGCCCAATCCATCTTCTGAGGGCCTCTTCTGGCCGCATCCAGGGCCGCCTTCGCCCGGCCCTTGAGGAGGGTCTTCAGCGCTGCCAACTTACCCCGGTCGGTCTCCAGCCCGGCAGCCTCCGCAACCTCCTCAAAGTCCTCCAGGAAGGTCCGAACATCCCCATCCTCAAAGGGTTGCGGCCATGGGATCTTCATCCTTATCCTGGTCACGGCACCAAGTGAAAGGAAGAAGGCCTTCGCTGCGGAGTTATTTATTCGGAAATGCCAACTGACCGGTTACAGACCATTGAACAGGGAAGCAAAACTCTAATCTGCATCTTAGTTACAAAAACTGGACACAGATCTTCTCCCGAACGAGTCTTCCTAGAGATTCATTACCTCCAGTCATTCGTCGGTCAAATCCAAGCAAATGGTACAAAGTGGCCCCACGAATTCCGCAACAGAATTCCCTTTTTCAATCGACGCAAAGCGAAATTCTACGAACAACACACAGTACTCGCGTGCCTCCCGATCAGTAGCATCACCGTTACACCGGTATGGTAACTGCTTGGGTTGGCTAGGCACTAACCAAGTGAACGACCAATAGTGCAAAGTGGCAAGTCCCCACACCACAACAGTCAACTAGGACAGCTGGGATGACAGTATTGGCTCTGAACTGTCTCATAGTGTGATCAAGGAAGGCTCACTATCGTCCTCAAGTCGGACTTCAATACGCATCCGACGCACATAATGGTGAGCATGACGCGGTGAAAATTCCCATTTTCATACGGCGTTGGTTTTAGTCTGGAATTTTTTTTTAAAGAAAATACTGATCCAAATTTTTCAACGTTGAGTCACTAGTTTTATTTAATCTTCTTATACTAATGCTAGGACAAAATACGTCTACATCTGTAGAGATAGCTCAACAAACTCTGAAGTCAACTTCTACAATGCACATGCGATTGAATAACACAACCATCTATAGATAAGTTTAATGAACGCACATATATCT